AAGTTCAGGGTTGGAGATGAGATTATCTCATCAGTCTAAAAAAAACCAGTCAAGTGCCTGGGAATGTTCTTTAATGATTCACTGAGTGTTAAACAGAATGTTAGCGACAACAGTAATCAACTTGAGAAGTGGATGAACACCATACTAGTATACAAAAGTGCCTTACCAAGGAAATACTAGGCATGAATAAACCAGCACGGCGTACTTCCTTGCCCTCTACCTGTGAACGATGTGCCACTGACACCAGTTGAATCAATGGAGAGAGGATCAGTGGGTACCTTAGAAGATGGCTCGCGGTTCCCAGAATCTTTAGCAGCATTGGTTTATAAAGCACCGGAACAAATCTGCAACTACCACTGACGTTAATCGTTGAGGAATTCAAGGTCACAAGGTCAGGCAGTATCTGATGTTACGCGACAGTAACGATTCCAAGGTACGTGTGGCAAGAGTGAACATCAAGACTGGCAGAAAGTGATCTGCAAAGAATACAGTGCAAGAGCCAGAGTCACGCCTGAGATAAGCCGATATTGTGCGAAGTGTGGCAGTAGGCAGGCAGGAAATAGGAATGAAACCATTGACAAAATGGGGTAAAGTGGAGGAGGCAACTGGTGCAGAAAGAAGTGCGCAAAATGGAAGACCACACAAGAATGGTGAAGGAATGAAGAAGCAGGGGAGCTGGTTAAACTGGGAAGGTGCCCGACAGAAGTTATCTTAGAACGTTATCTGAATAACAGAACCCCAGAGACTGCAAATTCAGCTTAAGTCAGTTTATGATGTGTTGCCAACCCCAAGCAATCCGTCAACGTGGGGCATGATGGACAATCCAAACTGCAATATTTGTGGTAGACCAGCCAACCTGGAACAAATCATGTCTTCGTGTTCAGTAGCTTTAACAGATGGAAGATACACATGGAGACATGACAAAGTTCCATCTATTATTGCAGACATGCTGGAGAAAGCAAGGAAGAAGCCTCGGAAGACCAAGGAAGGCTTGAAGTTTGTAAATTTTGTATAAAGGCTGGTGAACAAAGTCGTGGAAGGAGGTGGACTGTTGGGGACAACCTGTAACTGGGAAATGCATCTCAACAGTCGAATGCAGTTTCCACAGGAAATAGCATCTGCCAATCAGAGACCAGATATTGTTATTTGGTCTACCGTCGCCAGTCTTGTTATTACTGAGTATGCTGGAAGTTACAGCGCCGTTAGAGGACAGAATTGAAGAAGCCTATAAACGGAAAATGAATAAGTACCAGGATCTGGTGGCAGATTGGCAGGGGTGGCGAGTGTGGTGTCTCCCAGTGGAAGTTGGGTGCGTGGTTTTGTTGGGCAATCTATGTGGAGGGCCTTGCGGATTGTCGGTGTAACAGGCACTGAGAGACGGCAACTCCTTGGACGTCTGGGCAGAGAGGCAGAAGTGGCATACATGTGGATATGGAAGACAAGAGAAGAACAGTGCAACACTAAGACTCTGTGTGTTTGCGTGTGAATGAATATTAATGTGTTGCAGTCAAGGTGGAGAACTGAGTGGTTTCGGGCTGGGACTTGATCACCCCTGTCGGTTGTAGTTGAGAACGCCGAAACAACCATTGAAGGAGGATCGAACTCAAGAAGGGACCACGAAGCATCAAATATCATCAGATATATACAGGTTTTTAAAACAAAGGCTTAACATTTATTTGTATGAAACAAGTCAGCCAAATATGACCGAATGATAGGTCATACCTGCTTACAGTATGAAAGTGTCCAAAAATAAAACAAAGGACTGTGATCTGTAAATTCTCAAGAAAGGCAACCTACAAGGACTGTAGCAAATGGAGGGTGTGAATAATTCTTAGCTCTCTCTCATCGGCTGAGGACATTGTAGGAAAAACATGCTATATATACGTTCAACTTAATTATACTCATCTGCATGTTATATTCGGTAGAGGAAGTTCTCCAGGAAAAACAAAATCAAGCCATGGATCAGCAAAGATATTTGCAAGCTGATAGAGTCAGTGTCAGTGTACAATATCAGAATGACCATGCAGGCCAAAATGAGCGAAACTAACAAAGAGAAAGACAGACAGACCAGTCAAGAAAATTAAAGTGTGAGAAAGGACAAGAGCGAGCACAGAAAGCGGTGAAGAACGGGAGGCAGACAGCAGCTGACAGGACAGAAAAAACAGACAAACAGCAGCGGTGAAGAGCTAGCAAAGATGGAGAGCTGCTGAAAAATAAAGAAGCAAGACTTTCTAGATAGAGGGAACATTTTGAACCTAAACATCTCAGTTGAGCCACCAACCACACAGGAAATAGAGGCTGCACTGAAGACGCTTCCGATCGGTGGCCCCTGGAGCAGAAATGTTCGAGACAGACAACGATCAGACCAATCAGGACCTGAAGCACACCTTTGACCGGTACATACGGAAGGAGAAGTGTCCATAGAATACAAGGACTGATCTGCAAGTTCCAAAGAAAGGCAACATACTCCTAACAAAAATTTACTATAGTTTACTATAATTAACTATAGTTAACTATAGTGAACACTTTGACATTATGAAAACTTTGAGTTACTATATTGAACACTTTGATTTACTATAGTGATAACTATGAAAACTTTCATTTACCATGGTGATCACCATGGAAACTTTGATTTACTATGGTAAAAACTTTTATTTACTATAGTGATTTTTTTTTTAAACTTTGATCTGCTATAGTGATAACTATGACACTTTAGTGATCATTTGAAAACGTTGATTTAATATAGTGATCATTTTGACACTATAGTGAAAATTTTGAAAACTTTGATTTACTATAGTGATCACTTTGAGTAAACTTCAGTTAACTATTATAATATTTCTTTGTTAGGGTACAGGGTGACATTGTTGTCCCTAGCCAGTAAAGTGCTCAGCAGAATCCCCACAAAGAGAACACAGACCCGAGTTCATCAAACCCTTCAGAAAGAGCAGACAGAGTTCGGGAAAGGATGAATTGTCAACCACATCTTCTTCCTCGGTAACATAATGAAACAAGGCAACAACTAAATAACTTTGTATTTATAATCCTTGATTTTCTAGTATGTTTTACATGATTGACATATGTTCCGTTCCGCTCATATTTTTTTAATGTAAGTACTAAGTATATTATCTATTGAACTATTTCGCTTTTCTGTATACTGGTAAATTAAATATTTCAAAACTGTCATTCGATATTTTCATACTTTAAAAACAACACAAATACTTCTTTCCTTTATTTCGAATTGTACAATGCATCGTGATGTAATATAAATGCACAGCACAATTTTTTTAAAAATAAAATAAATTGAATTTCTTAAATTGAAAGTTGGAATAAATATCTGTTACTTTATCATTATACTAGTATTCCAACCCCCGCAGACTCTCGCCGTGTGTTTACATTTAGGCCAGCATTTTTTTATTTTTAGGTTTACGAACATCAGAATGAAAAAGTCCCGTAGGAGGAGGAAATAAAAAAAAAAATAAAATTATATTTTGGATACATTATCGACTTTTCTACATTAATTTTTGCTTCTTTTTTATGCTCTCCTAACAGGCTTCTTGCCACTGGACACATAAGGGTTACAAAGGGGAAAATACAACCTTTAATTGCTTAATTCATCATCTACCAATTTGGGGCAGTGATATGAATCTTTTGATGTTGCCCAAAATACAGATTTTTTTTAAAAAATCAATTTTTAAAATCTCTTTTAATATATCTTAATTTTTGTTTTTAATGTGTGTTAGGTAGAAATTATTCTAAAATATTAATATAAGTATAAAAGTAATAATTCCTTTCATAAAACAGACAGGGAGTATTCCCAAGGATTATTGAGGAGTAGGGTGGAATTTTTTTCAATCAAGTGTAAAATAATTTTTCTGGCCGCCATAAACGATACTATATGCCTGTATATATTTGTATATTCTTGTTTTTAAATAGTTGAAATATTTTATTTCTTTAGGCTATTGTTTATTTCTTCCTCAAATGGACTTAACTTCTCCCATAGTTTTATTAGATGTTATTTACATCTGATGCATAAGCGACCCTTTTCTGAAGAATGATACAATGTCTCTGACAATAGCTACCATGGGCAGTTTTAAACCTGTGGGTAGAAAATAATTTACAATTACAGACAGTTACTTTTGAATACGGATACATAATTATCTTACCAACATGTCACTTTGCAACAAAGTCGTCAGCATTTTATTGTTCTCTGAACGGGTGAAACGTTTTGAATGGCACTCCTATCGATAAATATTTACATTAAACCAAGCTTTAGTGCTGCTATGGACTTGACACATTACCCGCCATGTTCATTTAAAACCGGAAGTACGAGTTCGTAAATTTGAAATCTCGATCCCGACTCAAATTTGACATCGGAAAGAAAAATTTCTGTTTTTCTCAATTTTATTTTTTTTCTGAAAATTCAAAAACTTGAGCGGCGGGTTTGTAAACCTAAAAATAAAAAAATGCTGGCCTTATTTTGTTTATACTGAGGAGTCGTGTGGCTTCAAGTTATTCAACAAAGAATTATGTATATTATGCTGTATTCCTACGTATATGTACTCAAATTCATTGCAGTTTGCCTTTTAGATAACGATTCAAATTTTCAGTCTGTAGTCTTCTTTTCAACATGTTGCATAGATAATATAGAATATTGAATATTTTTTGACTTTTATTCAGTCTGATTAAAACCAGCCCCCTTCTCCTTTCAATCGTGGAGTGAGAGGAAAGGGGGCTTGTTGACATCTGACATTTATTGGGAATACCCGTGTTTGGTATAAATCCTATTTTCAATATTAAAAAAACTACAGTGATACCCACGTGACTTTGTGACGAAGGAGAATAAGGAAAATCATAGCAGACTTACCTTTAAGGTGATCTTTAATTAGAATTCTTTTAACCAACTTAAACTTCAATCATTAGATATTAATGATAATACATTTAGCAGCTGTTTGAAGAATTTCTATATAAAAAATGTTAATCTGCAAGTCCAGAATATTGTCATAGGTCTATATCATATGGTTTCTCTGTTTTGGTTGCATAAATACTAGTGTCTAGTATGTTTTAGACATTCTCATAAAAAAGTGTCTTCAGAAGTATTCGGAATGTTGAATTTTTGTACGGGTGTTTTGTTTATGTGATTAAATATACATGTATATGGCATTATAATACAAGTTCTACAAAATCTACATTCCTGAGGTAAATAATGTTTAACGTTCTGTTGAGTATACGTCATTTGAACAGAGCATTTTCGTAAGCTACTGATCCGTCCTCGTTTGTTGAGATCATAGAAGAGTAAAAGAATGAATCATTCGGACTGGACACCTGTCAAAGAAAACACCAAGCGTCATATTAAAAAAAAAACCAAGAGGCCCAGGGGCCACATCGCTCACCTGAGCAATTGGCTAGGAAAAGCACATATCAGATCAGAACTGAAAGTTTACTGGGGGGAGGCTTGAATTTTAACCCCCCAGGAGGTCATGATTTGAACAAACTAGAATCTACATTACCTGAGGATGATTCCCTATAAATATCACTAAGCATGGCTTTGAAGTACTTGAAAAGAAGATTTTAAAAGGTTTCCCTATATATTCCTATGTAAAACTTTTATCGGCCAGTTGGCCCCACCCTACCCTCGGGGGGTCATGATTTGAACAAATTTGAATCTAGACTACCTGGGGATGATTCCACAGGAGTTTCCTCTTTCCTGTCTCGATGGTTCTTGAGAAGAAAATTTTTCCTATATATTCCTATGTAAAACTTTAACCGGCCATTTTGGCCCCATCCTACCCCCGGGGGTCATGATTTGATCAAACTTGAATCTACACTACCTGAGGATGATTCCACATGAGTTTCATCTTTCCTGGCCAAGTGGTTCTTGAGAAGAAAATTTCTAAAGATTTTTTTCTATATATTCCTATGTAAAACTTTAATTGGCCATTTTGGCCCCATCCTACCCCCAGGGGTCATGATTTGAACAAATTTGAATCTACACTACCTGAGGATGATTCCACATGAGTTTCATCTTTCCTATCCCAGTGGTTATTGAATAGAAGATTTTTAAAGATTTTTCCTATATATTCCTATGTAAAAATTTGATCGGCCATTTTGGTCCCACCCTAACCACGGGGGTCATGGTTTGAACAAAACCTGAGGATGATTCCACATGAGTTTCATCTTTCCTGGCCCAGTGGTTCTTGAGAAAAAGATTTTAAAAGATTTTTCCTATATATTCCTATGTAAAACTTTGATCGGCCATTTTGGCCCACCCTACCCTCGGGGTCATGATTTGAACAAATTTGAATCTACACTACCTGAGGATGATTCCACATGAGTTTCATCTTTCCTGGCCCAGTGGTTCTTGAGAAGAAGATTTTTTAAAAATGCCATTATTTTTTCTCTAATTCATGATTATCTCCCCCTGGAAAAGGGCGTGGCCCTTCATTTGAACAAACTTGAATCCCCTTTACCCTAGGATACTTTGTAGCAAGTTTGGTTGAAATTGGCCCCGTGGTTCTTGAGAAGAAGATGAAAATGTGAAAAGTTTACAACGACAACGACGACAACAACGACGACAACGACGACGACAGACAATGGACAAATTGTGATCAGAAAAGCTCACTTGAGCCTTTGGCTCAGGTGAGCTAGAAAGCAGCAATACAACGGAGGAAAACAAAAAACTTAAAAAGAAAAAAAGTATTCTTAATCATAATGTATGATTTTTTAATAAGAACAAGGTATGATTTCCATACAAATTTTGCCTGTGATTTTCTAAAAAATGAAACTGGTGTAAAAGTTGAAATCTTGAGCATGCTTTCTAAATAATTGAAATTTAATGCAGAAAAATCATACAAATCATTTTTCTCACATGTGTTTTTAAATGCTAATTGTGACGTCATAAACATGTGCATTTTCCCGTATTTTCTTAAAATGTTGCAGAAGACACAAAATTTCAATGGGATTTTCTCTCCGATAACATTGTCCACAGGCATCGCCCACAAAGATCTATAGATATGTGATTTCTTATTGACTTTTGCACAAAATATCAAAAAATCAAAGTGGGCGATGGCTGTGGACACCATTTTCTAAAAGAAAATCACCCTTGAAATAGGCCATGTTGAGGCTTTTTCAGTGAAAAATAGACAAATGTATCACATTAATGACGTCATATTTGCAGAATGGTGAACCTTCCTGCCATATTCTTTCCCGATTTATTACAGTCATATATCTAATTAATATTTAAGCCAGTTTCAAAACTTTTTGATGTCATTACATTTTAGGGCGCAATAAAGCTAAAACCATACCTTCTTCTTTATTGTAGAGAAAATTTTATATTACTAAAAACTAAATTTTATACTAGTTAAAGTAACGAAGAAAGCCTGAATTCAGATTTAAAATAAGGCTATTCCAAGTTTTTTTTTCCCCCTATGTTTAGCGTCCACGTGCACCTTGGTTTTTGACACTTCATATCAGAAAAAACACCATCAGGAATCCTGAATTGATGAATTTAGTCGAAATCTTTTTTGTTAATTTCACCAAATAATTCTGTACAGAACATCATATTGGGTGTTTTAAGCATTAAATGGCTTGGTTTTACTAAAGAATAGATATTTCTTTTATTAAAGCATTTTAACGAGATCAAATCATTTTCAAGAATGGTGTCATTTTATGACTTTTAATCCTGTGTTTTATGTTTTGGCTTGTGTGTTTGCTGCGAATAGGTAGGTAGATTTTTTAAAGATGGGTGGACGTTAAACAGAAAAAAACTTGGACTGACCTAAACGTATTAGATAAACAAATTCAAATCTTTTTTTTATTTAAATTCGTAGCAAAAAGAATGACTCTAATTAATATTTGAAAAATTAACGTAATAATATTTCCTCCTCCTTAAATTATGTTATAAATGAAATATTTGAAAATAAATTCAAACATTAACTTCTTAGATATAGTTAGTGTACATCAAATTTCGAGTTTGTTTCTTTTTTTTTTCTTTAAAATGACTTCAAATACTTACCTGTAATTCTCTAACAATCTGGTTGATCGCTGCCAGTAAATATTCACACTGACATGTTTCTGTAACAATAGTTTCCAGTTCTTCATGTGGATTAAGATAAAGAAGAATAATTCTCGACAATTTCTTATGGATTAACCATTTTTTCAGACGTTTCCATTCCAGCACTGCTAGATATTTATCTGAAAAGAACGAATATTCAAACTGTTTCATTTCAAAACTTGAACAGTTCCTTTTCATATTTCTGTTCAACTCCAACTGATATATATGATTGAACATTCAGCCAACAAATAAAACCTCGGTGTCTGCATCAACTGAGGTTAGCAGGGCTATACATGTTCATGTATACATATTCCAGAAGAGCAAGTCAGTGGAAAGAATTAACATAAGGAATTCATACCTTTGTATATTCTTATACCATCCACTGACACTCTAATGGCACCATTATTGAATACCTGTGTTAAATACATGTATAGTGACTGTTAAAACACCCATTTTAAAAGAGGACTTAGTAATATATTAGGAACAAATTCTGAGTATATAAGGTCAGTATATACTTTAAATATAAAACTGAGACACTTTTCAGTTCAGTAATACTGGAGATATTGTCGATAAAACGGTTTTTTTCCAAATTGATATAATGAGTGTAATGTTTTATATACAAGCATTAATTACCTGAGGGGTATTTCCGTTCCTCTCGTTATCTGTAATCTTACAATCTTTAATTAAAACGGAAAAGTAGTCTTCCAAACTGTGCGCAAGAAGCACGAATTTTTCTTTTAATGTAAAACCCGGGTCTTCATATTCTGAAATTTTTAAGAGAATGCGATTTTTCAGGTTTCAACACATTCGGTACAAACAAAGAAAAAGTTATATTTGATGTACACATTAAATAAAACGCCTTTATATATTTTATGGACGTCTCAAACTTTTAACTCATCATTTGAATGATACAAAAAAGCGTCACATGTCAAATATATGTACAGTCACACTTACTCCTACAAGCAAGAGCCTCGGTTAACGTCCCTTCGCTCCTTATATATATAGCTCGTTCCGCCTGAGATTTTTGATATGGTGAAATAAACTGTTAACAAGTAATTTTCAGGTACCTAAAGAAAGTCACAAGAAATAATAAAATCCATTTTATTCAGTGTGCATTATTGTTAATTAATGAAAATTGTCATTATTCCAATTTGTCACCAGAAGTACTTTGATATGACTTCACATTAATTTTGCGGATTGCTTGTCAGAAAACGAAATTTTCGTTGCATTACAGATTTTCTGAATTCCATTTCCGAATTGTAAACAGACGACTTGTTTCAATTTCTGCTTCGATTTAAAAAATAATGGATTTATTGCTAATACGAGAGGTTAACAGTGTTTAATGCGTAAGTTTTATCGTAAATATTGATATTTTATTTCGTACCATTCGTTAATATACAAAGCCTTATTTCTTAGTAAAATAATTTTTTTCCACTTGGGGTTTCAGCGGCGAGAATTTTTACAATGGATGCTAGAGGTTACGCGGCGCCAAGTCAAAAGTATCTCGCCGTGAACCTCTAGCATGCTGGAGTGTCCAATCAATAATATATTGACATGTTATAATGAGCTGTCTGGAGCTCGATGTGCAGTACTTATAAAACCAAGGTTTCATTCAAGTCAGAAATAAACATGAGTAAGACTTATTATAACGGTCACCAAAGGATCTACTTCTTCACCTTTAACATGTCCAATCATTTGTTATAATGATTGATTGATCGTCTATTGTTTAACGTCCCTATCGAAAATTTTTCACTCGTATGGAGACGCCACCACTTGCCGGTGGAGGGCTACAAATTCTGACCTATACTCGGCACTTACCGCCATTGAGCAGTGAGGGATCTTTTTCGTGCCAACATCTTCTGCGATGCGGGGCCTCGGTTTATACGGTCTTATCCAAAGGACCAGTCTCCACGTCCCATGGTGGGATTCGAACCCGCGACGTAAGGAAATAACTCCTTATTTCGCAACTCTAGAACACTAAGCCACGCAAGCCATGCGACCATTTGGAAAATGAGATCTAGCATCGTAAGCATCCCTGCATGCATCACTTGTGCAAGCTTGGTCTCCACTAGGTATTTTACTCCATACTAGACATAGTTCATGCAAGTCAAGTAAATTTAGAACTTTTTCCGTTACTTGGAAATATACTTGCTTCAACCTCTTCACTCAGTTTGAATATGTATTTCAGATCCAGCATTCAAAAGAATTATTATGACTACTTATTTTACAAGAGTTTTGATTTTTTTCTCTTAGAATCCAAACCTATATCTATACGACCAATCAACATCTGACAATTGAGACGATAGAGTTTACGATGAAAACAAATTAACTGTTTCAAAGCGTGAAGATTTCAGAAAAGTAAAACAAGGAAACTGCTTGGTTCTGCAAATGTTACTATAGAATTTTTAAAACAAATTTTAGTCGATGTATACTTTTTTAAGGTGCACGTGTAAAACATCCCACATGCAGTAAAATCTACAGACTTGTGAAACTTGCCTCTTTCAGAAAGTACATAAGTAAATATTACCTTCTAATTTTTCCTGCTGTTCCTGGCTTACTTTCAGTAATCCTGTATTGGTGTAAAAGACACAATTAAAGACACTCAAGCTGTTCTTAAAAAGGAAATCCAAAAATGGTTTAAATACTACATGTATTTTTTTCTACATACATGTACTACTAACATCAATAACATAATATTTGTATGTACATATCTTGATACATTCTTCTGGATACATTGTTCTTTCAAAATACATATTTGATGTGTATAATTTTATTCCTTTCACTACATGTAGTCCACATCTACTAACCACTTGATATTGCCGATTTTGCTTCAAGGTATACCAGATGACATGCAGCTGGGTCATCTTTAATCAGCTGAGTTTCTATCTCTTTATTAAAGCACCATTTCCTAAGGCAAAGTTCTGTAAAAAAGGTGAAAATCTGTTAAAATTTTTCAAAAATCAATGTTGGAAGTGAAGATATTAGATACGCAAATGGTAAATCATTCGTTCAAACTATCAACAACAATGGCGAGTTCGCACGCGCTTTTCCTTAAAGTTTTGTCTTGTTCCGTGGTCTAGCCCTTGAATATGCAGCGAGGAGCCAGGGATAAATAAATATGAACATCAATCAAATATATATATCAAGTATAGAATTGATCTAAAAATATTTCAGCCTAAAAAATTCCAAAGTAAAACAAGAACATCTCCATCCAATGTTTCATCTTCACTAAATAAAATATGGATTTGCTACTCTTGAGGGAAGGCATTTTTTGTACATTTTTATACGTAGCTGCAATAAATCCTCCTATTTTTTCTGATGCTTTCATGCCCCTCCCCCCTTAAAATAAGTCTTTTTTTACATCATTTTTTTAACACCAAGCATGTAGTTTGATCCTTTTGACTAAACTAGCGATTGAAAAAAAAACTATGATTAACTGCCGTATAAACTATTTTTTCTGACTCAATAAGAATGAAGACTGTAAAGGAAAGCAGCGTTGTTTTCAATAGATTTTTAGGAGCATCATTTTAAACAATATATGTCGGTACTTGGTAGTGTCAATGCATGGTTCTTGATAGATACGTTATATCCAACATTACCAGTGGTCGTTGACGGTGTGCGGGACTCGGGTTTTAATCTTTTGATAAGTAGTATGTTCTTTCCAAAAAACAAGGAAAACCATAGGGAACTCGTCTTCTGCAAACCTGTAGTGAAATTATACCAGATGCTTTTTTGAATGAGCCTTTTGCAAATCACTGTTCGTGACGTACTGACGTTTTGCTCATCGAGAAGTACGTCACATTACCTTTCAGGTATTTTGCAAAAGGTTCTAAATGTGTAAAGTATATATATAAAAAAAAATGAAATAGATGTTCATTTTTCAATAGCTTTCTATTCTACTTTACTTTTAATGCTCTTTCTATATACATCAAACAATTACATATATTTTAAATACACTTTATTCTATCATATTATATTACGTATGAACGTTTAGCTGTTCTGGAATGCTTTTACGTGTATTAGAGAACTTAAAGAATATTAGGCCAAGCTTAAAAAATTCTTTGTTTGCAGTTGCCGACCTGTAATTATTAGACTGGGTCGGTAGGTTGGCATTCTTTTTTTTTTTTTTTTTTTGGAAAAAAAATCAGATTAGATAACAAATAATAGAGGTTTTCATACACTTACTAGCCATGAATAAGCTCACCTCTTGTTATAAACCACTGATTGATAAAAAACGTGTCAAAATTTGAAAATGAAACTGTTTCAATATTCTGAAAAATTGAAAAAAGAAATAAATTACCAAATTTCTAAATAAAAGTTTGGGTCGGGTGCATTTTCAGTGGGTCGGTAGGCAACTGCAAACAAACTTAATTTTATTTTAGGCCTTAGTACATGCCAGTTAGAGCATTCAATCTGAATAAATCACATGTACTTGAAGTTACATATTTTTCTCTATCTCCACACATAATAAATCCCTGTTATTTATTAGGTATGGGCCCTATGGGGATTTTTCAAAAAGTGTGTCTTCTCACGACCGATCGCGACTGGCTAAAAATGACAATTTAAAAACTTTATTTAACCACTACGAAGTAGTAAACGATCATTTCAGAATTTTCTCATTTCATCAACAATTATTTACTATTATACATATAGTAAATTATGAGAAGACGGTTACCTTCATTTTTAACAGATTTTGAAATTTTGGGGGGAATTTTTTTTTCCATACCGCACGGTGAGTACATGTACCTACCGATCCAATTTTTTAATCCTGTGTCAGGGAAAATTCTTTGCTACTGATTTTTTTTAATCACGACTGAGAAAAATACCCCCCCCCCCAGCACCACCACCCTGCGGATACTTAATGCCTGAAATAGTGGTGGTTTATAATAGTCGCTGATATTAAAATAAATTCTTTCAGCATATTGCAGATGTATCAAATTATAAACCAAACCAGTCTGATAAAATGAGCCGGTGACGTTTGATTTTAATCAGACTGAAACAAGTTTTGCTAAAACCCCTCCATTTTCCTTTTCTTTTTTTACCAAACGTGCTCTTGACGTTTAGTATATAAACTTGTCTGTGAAATTTAAATAAATGGAGTCAGTGAAGTATAATAAAAATCGTGAGAGACCTATATGTAATGTACCCCCTCTGTTTTTTTCTAATTGATATGACATTTAAATCCATTTACTTAAAGAAATTAAACAAGGGATAATAAAGATTAGGTATATACATGATTTTAAATCGATACAAACCAGAATGTGCTAGGATTTAAATACATGTATGTATGATAGATCGCATTGAGATATTAGCTAGTTTAAAACGTTACCCAAAGATTTACAGACTTTAGTGTGTATGTCAGTCACAGACACTTCATTATCTCCTACAACTGGCACGGTAACCTGTGAAAATACAAATAAGGGGGGTAAAAATATGAATTGTATCTATCTCTCCCGCTGATCATCAACTGAAGTAAAATTTACATTTTAACAATGTTCATACGTAAAACTATAAGTATATTTAAGAAGTCTTTTAACAACAAAAACATGATATCTATTCTGCAATCACCACGATTTGTTAGTTTGTCAAGGCCAAATATCCCATGTGTATAAGAGCACCTGTTAGTGTAATATCTGGATCGATGTTTAATTCAGGTGGAATTATTATCCTTGTAATTTCCCCTTCGTGTCCGAGTGACTAAAAATATATTTCTACTTAATAGAAAAATTTATCCATTTTACTTTTATAATAAATTGAAATATCAAAAATATTAAACAACTGTTAAAAATTTCACAATTTGCGTCATGTATTTACCTGAACTTCGTTTCCATCAACTGTAGACACTTTCACTTTAATTAAGTGTTGTAATTCCACATCTTTGTTCATCGTTTATACGATTTGCAACTCATTCTTTCGTAGATAAAACTATTAAAAAATATTTTTGTCGGCTTCCCTTGTTTACATTTCCTATAATAAACAAACAGAGTACACCGAGCCCGACGTATAAAAGTCCGGAAAGTGGAAATCCAAGTCGATCTGAATTTTATGTTTTTCGTACCAGAGAAAATTCGGAAATAGAAATTTGACTGAGCATTGGCCTGCAGCTGAACAGGAATGTTATCTGATTGCCTGTTAATTGTATTTATTTCAATTTGTACAGCTCTTCTTGGAGAAGGTAAGATGAAAATATACATGTTGTAGAGATAAGAAAGTGTTTATATCATCATAAATTCGTGTGAACCTTGTAAAACTAAAAGTGGTAGTACACACTAATACTACACAGCTGCACAGGCACTTGTAAAGCGCCTGTGCATAAGTAATATATATACTGATATATCTTTGAGTGTTAAGGTAATGAGATAAGGTTAAAGGTATATGATATCTATAAATTTTAACCTAATGAAAGCTGCTGCTAGGCCTAGTAAAAAAAATCAAGAGGATGAATGGTGTGAGGACTTTGTATAAGAGGCTAAAACTGTAAAGAAAATAAGCTAATTCAGAGAATCTGCTGAAGGAAAAAAAGAGAATGCTTAAATCTATTCTAAGGGGAGGGGTCGAGGGGGCACTTTAACTTAGAAGGGATGCAGGTCCATAGGGAGTTAGGGTAAAAAAAATTAATTGCAAAAGCTTCTTGAGATATCACCTGGAAATAAAAGTTTTAACACACACATAGAATGTATAAATTTATGACTTGGCATTTGACATTTTCACTTCAATTATCAAAATCATAAGGTGTCTTCCTTAGGCCATAAGGAGTTGTTGTATAAAATTTCATAGCAAAGGCTTAAAAGCTTCTCAAGATTATGTGTGGAAGCAAGAGTGTTACAGACAGACAGAAATACAGACAGACAGGCTGAAATTAATATCCCCCATTTAAGTGGGGGACAAAATTGAAAAGGGGGGGGGGGGGGGGCTTGGAAGTCAAGCTAGCTAGTACTGCATTTCAATCCAAGTACCCTAGCAAATATTTTTCTTCTTTCTTAGGTTTGACATGGCTCCTAGTTTATCGCACAGAGAAGTACAAAAAGTTGAAGGCAGAAGTTGAAAAACAGAGCAAGAAATGTGAGTTACAATAACATATAAATAATTTAACTTTTCAATTTATGCATAAAATTAACACATAGTGTCATACTGTGTTTTCATCAATTTTCATTTCCATCATTTTTTGTGGATTTTGCAAAACAGATGTTTTCGAGGATACATAATTTCGTGGACGAAAGCATTACCTAAACAAATGAATAACAGATTTCTCAATTCAGTGAACATTTAATTTCGTGGATCTGCTCAACAACAAATTCCCTGAAAATTGGTGCTCAAAGAATATTGATAAAACCACAGTAGTACATTGTCACTGAGCACAGATATCTGCAGATAAAGAATTGTTGACTTTTTTTTAGTGGAAAAGAAAAAAGAAGGTGGAGAATCCTCTGATAGAAGTCAGAAGAAGAAACTAGGTAACATACCATAACAACATCTGTAAACCTGTAAATGACTCAAAAAAATGAATGTGTTTCTTCCTTCATAATCAGAATTATGAGAAATCTCCGATATGAATTCCAGTTTGTAAAATGCAGTCAAGGTCAAGATACAAATACATGCATTAATAAATATGATACCAACTGCATAATTAAGAAAATGTGATTATTTCATATTTGTCTGTTCTAACTGGCATACTGATATGATAACTTCACTTTCTTTGAAGATTTTTTTAGGACCATTTTCAACTAAGTTTGGACTTTCAGTAAGGCGTGGTATTCTCGATGTTACCTAATTAGCTTCTGGCCTCATGACCATAAACTGAGAATAGACTTAAGTCAAAATTTCAAATCAATGTAACTTTTGAAAAAAAAAATTGATAATGAATATTATACATAACTACAAATTTTTAAGAATATATGTTGAATAAAACTTGCATTATTCAGAATCAAAATTTTGACTTGAATATATGTTGAATAAAACTTGCATTATTCAGAATCAAAATTTTGACTTAAGTCTATTCTCAGTTTATGGTGATGGGACCTGAAATTTACACAGCTTTCCTTCATTGTTGAAATATACATAGGATAGAAATTCTGCCGAATGTCAACTGGTGTAGTAGATAGCCAATTAAAAGTTCTCTCATGGCACAGAGGGGGGGGCATAAGTCCTCTCATTGTTGTCAACTAGTATTCACCATTACGTAGCGCCGAGAATGCCACGCCCTACTGAAAGCATACATGTTAACCTATTGTGATGAAAAAGAGGGAGATTCAGACCTCAAAAGCGGTAGCATTGCGCGCGTGTTGTTTAACACTTGGATTATCGATATCTTTCATGTAATATACATGTATATTATAAGCCTTAAATGAAATCAGGTACCTACACTAATCAATCTTAAATATCAACAGCAAGGAAGAAGACAGAAACACCTTAAGTTTGACATAAATTGTACAAATTCAAATATTTTTCATGCTCATCATTTTGCTTGGATTGGCTGCTTTACTTAGCCTTTTGAAGAGTGATCTTTGCTGAAATAGCCTAGAAGCAATAATTCTGAATGTTCATTCAGTTTTTAAACAAAACAAATGATGGCATGGTTTAATCTAGATCTAAAACAAGTTTGTATCTTTCGTTATATAAATCAGATTTCCTGCGATGATCGAAAACGAAAGTAGAGATGTGCCACATGGCTTGGTCAATCGAGTGATTTCTAATGACTTTATTGATAAAGTTGTGAGCTTCTGTGCTTTTAAAGACGATGTCAAATGTTTTCATCTAATTCTTAAAAGCTATATCTCCTTTTTCATGGCAGGGATGTTGATTAATTTATCGTAACCAATGTAATCACTGGTAGTCTTATGATGTTGTCGTTGTCAAATCCGTGCTTGAAATCTATGTACAAAAAAAGCGTTTGTATGATTCCGAGTCAAATCACGCGATATCTAGCGAGATTTTATGAGAGTGGCTTCAAAAATGGATACCCAAGCGAACCAAAAATACTTTAGACGCAGCTTTTGTAGAAAAGCGGTAGATTTCTGAATTAAATCGGTAGGCGGGAGATGGAGTGAAAAAGCGGTAGACTCCCGCCTAAATCGGGAGAGTTAACATGTATGCTGAAAGTCCAAACTAAGGTGATAAACGTCCTATTACAATTTACTAACAACTTGTTCTTGGTTAGTCAAGCACAAATACTTAATCAATTTTAGTCTTTATTTACAACGATACTAATAACATAATATTTAAAGGAATTGTAGATGAATTCAAACAGAATAACAAAGTAATTTACCCCATTTAATAATTCAAGTTTTTTTGTTTTTTAAAATATTGATTTTTAACTGATGTTTCAGAACGACAGGAAGAAAGACTGAAAAATCACAACAGAGACTTGTCCTTTGTAAGTCTTCATTTCATAGACATTTTGGATTTGATAATACAGAGTACTGGTATATTTATCAATAGAATCTGTCTGTATAAGCATTATAAGGATGGACAGTTGAATGTTCATTACTTTATTTTTTACAGGTCAAGATGAAGTCGATGTTTGCCATAGGATTTGCATTTACAGCACTACTCAGCATGTTTAACTCAATGTAAAACAAATTAAACTCTGAATAAAGAAAAATATTTTATATTTTCTCTTACACGCTGTGAAAGCAGATAATTTGTTGCTAAAAAATTCTAAAAAGTATTCAGTGACTTTTTTCTATTCCAAGATAGTGGCATTAATTAAAAAAAAACATGCATTACTATATGCTTTTCTATTGTATATGGATATTTTGAAATTTTAAACATTGAGAAAAAAGGATTTTCATGTTTAACCTGAGATATTTAAATACGTTGATGATTTCTTACAGATTTGATGGGCGGGTCGTAGCTAAGATGCCTTTTGTTCCCATCAGTCTCCTACAAGGAATTTCTCATAGAAACCTGGGGGGAGACGATTACTCCGAGTGTTCATTCATCTTTCTATACATCTTGTGTACTATGTCAATCAGACAGGTAGGTCAGCTGGTCTGGACTCTGTTCATGGACTACATTTAAAAAATTTAAAACTTTTTTTTTTAAATACAGGGTGCAATGATAATATAGATATGAAAACAAATACAAGTGATTGTTGATATTGTTTTCAAAAAATTTTATATGAAGCATCACTCTACAATATTCAGCATTTACAAAAAGAATAATTCAATTGAAGTTCCTACCTGTTTTTAATTAGAAATCTGAATGTCTGTTACTGAAAAGCAATCTTTCTAATCTGCTCAGAATGTCCAGAAGATCCTGGGATTGGCCCCATCCAGAGCAGCCAGTAAACAAGGAGGGGGGCTGTTCGCTACCCCAGGTCAACTGAACACAAGATAGAACTTGGGCGTAATGGCAATTAAGACTTGGTAAAATGTAGAGAAGTCATTCATTTTGTTACAATCTATTGTTCCATTTGCTAAACATGTACACAGCTATTTTGTACCATTGATAGAGACATGGTTCATTGTTTCAATAAATAAAATTGCTTGTGCATTTTTTTTTTTACCTAAAAAATAAAGAAATGCAGTATCATGTCTGTCAATAAAAGGAACTGAAAGGTACTTTCCATTACTTTTGTACATTATGCAAATCGAGGAAGAGGAACTATATGTGTTTTATTGGAGACATACGAGGACTGTTCAATAAATAATGTCCTGAACACTATGACATACAACACAGATATCATATGACATTAAGCTTGACTTTCTCTCATGATTGAATCTTTGATGAATTGATATCAGTTGATGCGACCATTGTTCATCTCATATTTTCATCGTGAGACGCTGGAAAACAAGGGCTATTCGAGACACTGCATTAAAAATGAATGGTAAAGAATCAGTAAACTAGAGTGAAATTAAACGCTTCATTAAAGCTGGTATAAAACTTGTTAAGAATCCCAAAGAAATATTCACTGAAATTTGTGAAATTTACAGCATCCAATGTCTGTTTTATAAACACATGAGTAGGTGGATTTGAATGAACAATAATGATAATGTTCATAGAAAATGGGTACTGCACTTGGTGACAAGGACTTATTAAACAACCACATGAATGTTCTGTTTGCCAATATTCAACAAATTATCCCTTCTGATGTTTCATTGCAGGCACGTAGCATCGTTTTTGAAAGTGGGGGGGCCAACCTGAGAAATTTTTTTTTACTTACCTGAAAAAGTTGACAAGCAAAAAAAAAAAAAAAAAAAAAAAAAAAAAAAAAAGAAAAATTAAAAGTTGCCCAAAGTCGAAAATCCCTATTTCGGGGGGGGGGGGGGGGGGGGGGGTAGTGGCCAACTTTTTTCAAGACTGACTATCTTTTAATTCAAACTTTTTGGGGTAAATTTTATTTATAACACTACACTGTGCTGAAATGTGGGGGGGGGGGCAACCTTCCTTTCAGTAAACATTTTCTATAGTAAAGGTAATGTCGGGAGAAAAAGTGGGGGGGGCCCCCCCCCCCCCCCCCCCCCCCCCCGATACTTCGTGCCTGCATTGACTTGAAGACACATAGCAAATTTGATAGGCATCAATTTGGGGGTAGTTCACACTATTTTAAAGAAACATTTGACAGTAAAAAAGCTTAGTACTCAATGGTCATCCTAGGTTTTGAAAAAAATGAATGAAAACGACGGCGTGTAAGAATATCTAAACAATTATTTTTAAAAATCAAAAATTGTAGTTATCCATGTTTGTCTGAAATTCAAACAGATAATGAAACTTAAATCCATTGCTTTAAACCCTCAAAACAAATATACAATAAGATGCACTTGACAAAAACAGCAAAGGTCTGAAAAGAGCAAAGAATTGAAAGAGGACAAAGACAGTTTTATATGCCATTTTCTTAAATATATAAGTGGTCTTGTTGTTCATGTTGTTCAAATTCTTATTCGGGGAAGCAGTTCAATTTCTGGAGGAGTCTAGAAAGCAAAATTTTTGCAAAAAAATCGAAAGGTTTAAGAGAGGACGGAACCAGAATCAGGAATCCACTACATTAAATTTCTTCATTACAGCGCCCAAACCCCTACGCCACGAAGAGTAAAGGAGTTTGGGGGATATAAATAGATAGTTAATATTTTGTCACACCAACAATATTCGCAAGATCTGTCACCCTTTGGCTTGGTTCATTTTTCAAACTTGTAAAAACACCTTTCAGAAAGAAGAAACAAGTCCAGGAAAGCATAGCTAGGATCTGCAATATTCCAGTGTACGAAGGGCCATGCTCAAAAAAGAGTTCTAAAAACAATCAGAATCACTCTAATTAATTAAAATTAGATGTTAGATCCGCTCGTATACTAGCGAGTATGCAAGCGGATCTAACATCTGATTTTAATTAGATTGACCTAATCAGAAATTGCATAAAAATGTTACGGACATGTGTTTTAATCAAAAGAAAACATTTAAATTGAATTAAATCATTAAGACTAACTCATTGAAGAGCGTCTTTTGCTTCTTTCCGAACACCGAGGACATTATATTTATTGAACAGCCCTCGTATAAACTAACAGCTAGTATATATAGGTCCATGGATGGCATGGATTAAGTTTCTGGTTCAATTACTATAAAATTTGAATTCTTTCCAATACAAGAAATTCCAATCCTCTGATTTTTTGCTGGAGATTTTTTTTTTTTTTTGCAAAGCCATTATAATAGCCGTTTTATCAAAGTCTTTTATAGTTCACCATGCAACAATTTAATCTACATTATGGAACGCCATCACTGCCTTATAGCATAAATCTATGCATTCATTATGTCAATCTATCATTACGTGATGTGAACATATCTTTACGTTATATCATTTTTTTATGGGGTGATGTAAAAATATCTTTACATCATGTCAATGCTGCATTACATGAAGTAAACACATTCTTCCATTATGTCAGCACTTTATAACTTGAAGTCGGTAGTTCATTATGTGAAGTGAAAATATGTTTACATTGTGTTAAATCTTTATTACGTGAAATGAATGTTTCTTTATATTATTTCATTTCTTTAATATGTGAGGTCAAAATTGCATTACGTCAAGTAATTTGTGTTTTATAATTAAACTTATCATTACATGAAGTCAAAAGTCCATTCCTTTTTGAGAATGTATATGTCTATTATATCAAAGCATTATTACGTGATATGGATTTATCTTTATTTTACGGCGAGAGCATCATGATGTGAGGTGAACACATCTTACCTTTATGTCACTGCTTTATTACGTGGTGTAAAAAGTGTATAACATAATGTGAACATATCTTTATATTATATCAACACTTTATTACATTATGTCAAAACTCCATTCCGTGATGTGGATATATAATTACGTTATGTCAACTCTTTCTTATCATATGTGATTTAAAAAAATATCCTTATATTGTGTTAACTCTTTATCATGTTGATTCCAAAAGTTCATTACCTGATGTGAAAATACATTTACATTATCTGAAAGCTGTATATCTAGTATAATGAATGTTGACGACCGTGTTTTAATGACTGGTAAGAGGGGGGGGGGGGGCGATTGAGTAGGACGAATTATAGACACATAATATCAGCCCCCCCCCCCTTTTCCCAGACATAACCTTATTTTAGAAAATGTAATGTTCATTGAAAGTACAGCCCCCACCCCCACTTATTGTTGAAGTATAGTCCACTAGGGGTAATGTAGTATAACTGAAAAAATATAGGACTGATCGAAGTCGGATCCCCCTCTCCGAAATAGGATTCTCGGGCTTAGACAAATTGTTTTGGCTTGTCAAGTTTTTTCGGGTAAATAATTTTTTTTTTCTGGCTGACATCCTCTTTCAAATAAATGCTATGTCACGGAATTAGTTACTGTAATTTTTTCAACCATTCCAAGACCAGAATTCTGTTACAAAAATCTACCAGTTCCTCATCTGAATCAATTGAGCATGCATGGGCACATATTTGTGGCGCATATGGGAATCTTGAAAAAAGAAGGGGGGCGGTATAGAGTTGGTGACCAAAGGGGGGAAGCGGAAAAACTCTCCGGCAGGCTTTATAGTTTTATATAGAAAAAGTTTTCAATTCAATTCAGCTAAACTTAATGTGAAAATAATGCAATGACCTACAACGTAAAACTAATAAATTTATTAATTTTATGTATATTTTGGTGACTAAAGATGGTAGGGCGGGATTTCTGCCCCCCCCCCCTCCCCAACCCGCCAGTGCACGTGTGCACGTGAGCAATTCAAAAGAAAAAAAAATGCTGCACGACTCATATTTGATTTATTTAATTATCAGATAAAAGTAAACGCCATTGAATTTCGACGCGTGACTTTAATTCACAGTCGCAGTGTTAAGGCTTTGCACGTTTCAAGATTGTCAATCATTTTTCGCTTAATGTTTTCATTTAAAGATGCAATTCCCAAATCGCTGAGAATTTATTTTATGACAGTTTTCTCTCCCGCCATTTTTAGTGCTTTCGGAATGCGGAAAATACGTTATGCTCATATAAAGGCCGAGGATACCCGTGTTCGCATAACGTAATAGTGAATCGACATAATGTAGAAGAGTGCGCACAGTATGACATGAGCTTTTCACATCTGATATGAGATGAAATAGCCTAAGATACATGTATGCTGACAAGAGGCTTAGCATTTTTGACACAATGTAAAGACACAATGACATAACGTAATAACAATTTGTCAAAAAGTAAGGGCAAATTCACATCATGAAATTGATTCACGTCGTCATGTAGCATATTGAGGGCATAAAGTAGTAAAAGAATTTACCACATGTGACAATTTTTTTCAGATAATGTAATGAAATTCTGACATCGTATTATAACGACTTGATATTGAGTTAAAGATAAATTCACATCATGTAATGAACTACTTAGACCAAATAGTAGAGAGTGCACATAATGTAATAATGAGTTGAAAATATATAAAAACATTTTTACACCACGTAAAATTGTTTTGACTTAATGTCATAATGAGCTGATATAATGCAATGGAAGATTGGCGCAATGTAATTAAAGTGCGAGTTAATGTCATAAAGACTAAACATAATGTAATTGAAAGTTGATATAACGCAATAGTAGTGTGGACTAATGTCATAAAGAGTTGACATTATATAATAGAAGGTTGACATAATGCAATAGTATTGTGGAATAATGTCATAAAGAGTTGACATAATATAATTGAAGGTTGACACAATACAATAGTAGTGTGAGTAAATGTCATAAAGAGTTGACATAATATAATGGAAGGTTGACACAATGCAATAGTAGTGTGGGTTAATGTCATAAAGAGTTGACATAATGTAATGGAAGGATGACGCAATGCAATTGTTGTGTTCTGCTATAAGGCAGTGACGGCGTTCCATACTACATCCTCACAACGTCAGTAATGTAGTGCTATTTCTCCCTGATAAACTTCATTAGATACTAGTATTCTACTGGCTCACTCTTCTCGGTGTCAGAGAAGCACCAATCAGAATGAGACTTTTTAAATATATGTGTCATTTAGTATTTATAATTGCTTTTTATTGATACACAGGTAATCTATTTGAATATATTGGTGATATCACCAATTGAAATCAAATAGATACATGTAGCCTAGTAGGTGATATCACTTGATGGTGGCAAACAGTAAAAGGGCACCTCAAATTATTAGAGGACTTGTCAAAATTTAGTAATCCACATGTGAAAACAAAAGGACCACATTGTTCATGTGATTCACTCTAGAAAGTGTTGTGGAGATACCCTGTGTTTTATTTTATTATTTTCCCCAATTTTTCTGTAGTTTTCTTTAACTTTTAGTATTTTATATTATCAGATTATTATAGGAATACATTATAAGTTCTCTCGATTTTTTCCTATATGATGCACATAATGAATAAATGTAATAAATATAATTTGTGAAAAAATGTCGCGAGCTCCGGGGTTGAATAATTTCCACAAAACCTGTGTGTAATTAGGCTTATTGTAAATTAATGTTTCCGCAAATTGTATAACGAAATTATTACGCTCGAGCTAATAAAAATTCGGCGCATGCGCAGTGTTGGAATCCGGAAGCGAAATTACTCATCGGAAAATAAAAATGGCCTTGTTTTGAATTTGCGAAGTTTTGATAAACGAAGGCAATGATGAAGAGACTAATCGTCCTGGTTTGTTTTTTTAAATGTATCTTAGCAAATGATCCAGATGTTACAATAGATGAAACCAGCCCTGCAACAAAATTCACACCTTTTGAGAAAATAATGACGGTGACGAAAAACAGCGACGCTTACCTTACCTGTAAAGTAGAAAATAAACCACCGGACAAAGATGTGGAGTGGGTTGGTATACCAATGCAGCCTGGGGCACCCTTGATTTCTATCTCTACCGGTCCAGACTCCAAAGATCCCTTCAAATACCAAATAGATGTCCCCTCTTCTTTGCAATGGAGATTGAAAATCCAGAACGTGCAAGTGTCCGATGAAATGAAGTACTACTGTCAGGTTTCAATTGGCGTTCAAAAATATGCTAAAGATGTAAGAACTTTGAGAGTTGTGACAGCACCGCAAATTGCCGACCTTGAAACAGACAGTGATATGACTGTTAAAGTTGGAGATCCTGTATCCTTGAAATGCAATGCAACCGGTAGACCCTTTCCAATTGTAAAATGGGAAAAGCTTGCAGGAGGACTCCTGCCAACTGGCGGACGAGAACACAGAGATTATGTTCTTGATCTTGGTAAAGCCAAACCGGAATATCGTGGATCATATAAATGCACAGCTCAAAACGAAAAAGGAAAAGCTGCTCGAATTGTGTCAGTTGTGGTCCAGTTCAAACCGATTGCAAGGGCAGTTGAAAATCCAGCACAGCAGATGGTTGGGTACAGAAAAGATTTGATGTGTGAATTTGAAGGCTATCCTATTCCTACTAAAGAACAGGTTAGATGGTCAAAGAATGGTAATGCCATTTCAGATGGTGGAAATTATGAAACATCCTATATTGAAGGAGCTTCTGACAAAGTTCGAATCAAGCTAACAATAAAGAAAGTAAGCAATGCTGATTTTGGTTATTATCAGTGTGGTGGATCAAATTCAGAAGGAAGTGGAAGTACCCAAATAGAGCTTCAATCATCTAATGTTCCAACTCCAGACTCTACTGGTCAGATTAACAGTGCTGGAATGCTGACCTTCAGCATGATAACTATCATGATGTTACTCTCAGTGTGTCTTTTACATAAATTTTAATGAACACAAGAAAACTTAACTCTATTCTGGACTATGCAAGTCTAATCTATCTGTACAGAAATCATTTATATCATATAAAAATAATTGTAAAGCATTTAGTCAAGGTTTAAGTCTTTAATGATTAAATGTAAAGTTATGTTTATAAACGAAAGAATTTAAACTCTCATATCATTGTTAAGTTTTATCTATACTTCTGACATATTAGTGCCATTTTGAACTATTATAACTATATACACAGGTATATGTTTGAAATTTAATATTTTCAGAGTTGTGAACATTTTTATGTGGTTGTGATTTTTCGGATGTAAACTTGGAGGGAATTTTATTTCATATTCACTCAGAAATGAGAATTGTATTTTTTGTAATATGCATATCATATTTTTTTACTATTGTTAAATGCAAGTTTTCTACAAATATGTATGAATTATGATTGAATGAATGTTTTCATGCTATCAAGGATATGTAGCATTTCTCATCACATGTTTAACATATTACTGTGGTTTAATAACAGTTGTTAGGTCAGTTTTCAATATTTGTTAAAAATTAAAATTAAAAATTCTATGTCAACGCCGTTTTGCTGAATCATTGCATATTAATAGATACTTAAAAAAAGTTTTATCTATCAAAATTTAAAAACATAATATTTTACTGTCTAGTAATTATGATTGCCTTTATTTAAAGAAAATGACACACAGTCTTCACCATCTCTTTACTGAGCATGGTTTCCGTTCTGTACCCCTATCAATAGCATACTTTATAATAGCAAAGAGATGAATGTCATAGTACATGATACTTTTATGATGCTTTCTGAAACTGATTTTGATAAATTTTTAGTCCATTAATGATATTCGTTTTAGTTTAGGAATGTTTCATTCATCATTTAGAGAAAAAAATGCTATTTTTCTGGTAACAGGTTAATACTAAGTTTTAACTGGTAAGTGGGATTTGTGTACATTTCAACTTACATCCCACTGAAACCAGTTATTACACTAAAAAAAAGTTAACTTATAAGGCAGTATGTATGGATAACAAGTTAATAACTGTGATTTATGCATTCCAAAGATTCATTGATAAAAGGATGCGGGTATTATCATCCATTCTACGAAACATAAAACAAATTATTTAAGGCATCAAATGAAGATATTTGTGATTTAAAAAGATATGATAAACCATAGGGAGTACGTACATGTTTATGTATCTTGTGTTTGTTCATTTAATCTCTCAGGAGCATATTATTTTCAGACAGGTAAGGCTTATGTTGAACAACAATTTTCATTGTATATTCTCAATATTTCATATAGTTTTATCAGAGTTGCTGATTTGTAACATTCCATGTATGTGAGAGTATTTTTATACAGAATGCTGTTTTTCATTTAATACATTCCTTTTATGTACATTTGTATACTTTGTACATAGATATACAATACTTGTATTTACCGGTACATCATGATTTTTAAAAAAAAATAAACCTTTTACTTTATATAATAAAATAAATATATAATTAGATTCATTAGATTTTTTGCTTTTTAGCTCACCTCAACGAAGTTGGGGGGAGCTTATGTGATACCCTCGGTGTCGGTGTCGGCGTCCCATGTTAAGGTTCAGTTTTTTGGAGCAGTTTTCTTTTTAAGTACTTCTGTGTCCTATATTGATCAGACGTGCGTGGAAGATGGTTCTAGTGTCTTTCATTGTACCAGTCCAAGATTCAGATGCTGCAATTTCAGCAAAGGAATGACCAGGTTAATGTTTTTGGAGCAGGTTAACATTTTTGGTGCAGTTTTTGGTGTAGGTTTCATTTCCAAGTAACTATAAGCCCTATGTTGATCAAACTTGCATGGATGATACATCTAAGGATGCATACTACCGGGCTTGCTTCGGATGCTGAATCTGACATACACTTTCCGGTTGAGTGAACAGGTCAAAGTTTTTGGTGCAGGTTTCATTTCCAAGTAAGTATAAGCTCTATATTGACCAAACTTGCATGGATGGTACATCTAAGGATGCATTCTACCGGGCTTGCTTCGGATGCTGAATCTGACCTACATTTTACGGTTGAGTGAATAGGTTAAAGTTTTTGGTGCAGGTTTCATTTCCAAGTAACTATAAGCTCTATGTTGACCAAACTTGCATGGATGATACATATAAGAATGCATACTACCAGGCTTGCTTCGGATGCTGAATCTGACCTACATTTTCTGGTTGAGTGAATAGGTTAAAGTTTTTGGTGCATGATTCATTTCCAAGTAACTATAAGTTCTTTAATGACCAAACTTGCATGGATGATACATCTAAGGATGCATACTACCTGGCTTGCTTTGGATGCTGAATCTGACCTACTTTTTGTGGATGAGTGAAAATATTAGTTTTTGATGCATGTTTCATTTCCAATTAACTATGAGCCCTATAATGAGCAAACTTGCATGGACAATACATCTTAGGATGCACACTAATGGACTTGCTTCGGAGGCTGAATTCGACATACATTTTCAGATAATAGACTAGGTAAAAGTTATGGTTGCAGGTCTATTACCAAAAAACTATAAGGCTTATATAACATTGTATAAACCAAACTTGCACAAATGTTGCATCAAGAGATGAAAACTCAAATTTGCTTCAGATGCTGGATTTTGATTACATTTTCATGAAGAAGAACTAGTTTAAATTTTTTATGTAGGTCTATTTCAAAGTATCAGATCAAAATTGCTTAAATATTTTCATTTTTGGAATGTACACTTTTTATTGGTTAATTGTGTGACTTTGCCTTACTTAAAGACAACATTCGTTGAGGTGAGCTCTGTAATCTCTGATTACAGGTCTATGTTTTTATATATTTTTCCAAAAGGTAGAGCACAAATTGAAAGAAAACAGTGGGGGAAATTAATGCCTGTCTAGTGAACTATATCATTCTCCTTAGTAGTCCTGGTTAGTTTAGTACACCAAGAAGAGCATTTTTACAAGAAAACACACAATCTCCCATGCAGGGGTGTTGCTAAAACGCGGAACGGAAAGCGGAACAGAACGGAAAACGGAATATTTTATTTTAGATTAAATCACTTAAAATATTATATAGTAGAAAACTAAGCTCACTGTATGAAACAAGCGCCTGTGCTTAAAATACATAAATTTTATCAAAACGATAATCTTATACATACCGGTATTCAATCCCCTTTCAACCCCCCAATATTAGGCCTAAATACAAGTTGATTTAGTTATGTCAGTCTCTTATTCACGAAAATTGCTGACATAGCAGTGACGTTGAATCGAATTTGAAAGGAGGTGGGGTGGGAAGCTTTTCCGTTCCGCGTTTTAGAAACACCCGATACAAATAACATACAAGTTAAATTGATGCAAAGCATCAAATCGGCCGCAAACGAAATTTACATGTACATTTAAGAAATTTCTTTCACAATTTTCAAAGTGTCCATGCAAGGAAAGCGCGTCAAGATATTCTAAGGTGAAATAGTTGAATCATTTTTATTTTAGGCTGTCTTCAAAGCAAAATAAATAATTAAATAAAATTAAGACAAATATAGACATATTACAGCATTTGCTTATAAATAGATTCATCGACGTTACTTAAAAAGGTCAGCGATAAATGATAAGAATTGTCATCAAAATGAAGATGTAGGTCTGATCAAGATGAACCGCGTGCTGATTCCCTGGATCTTGGTCACGTGATGATATGCCCATGACCATGCTGCAAGGCGCAGTGCAAAATGTAGGAAAATGTCTATGTATTATTTGCAGCTGTACGGCATGTTCAAAACAATTTTTACTGGTTGAATTTTTTTTTATAATTTTTATTCACCATGCACTTTTACGCGTCATTATTATCCGGAACATCATGACGAATACCTTTCATATCTTATACACTCCCAGGCTGGGGAGTATCTATTGTAAACACTTTTTTACATAACAATAAATTATCAATTATCTGATGAGAAATGATAATTAAATTGAAACATAGTAGCAGCAATTAATACTAAGTTTAAAACAATTTTTAAAAATATTTTACTCATGATTTTTTACTTGTTTTCATTTGAGAAATATTTTCCTGATCTAATGAAAAATAACGTCTCATTTCCCCATGTGCACTTTCTAACACAATCACAAATAGATCGGCCGCTGCTGCGGCCGATAATAAAAGTTTAACAAATGTTATATTAGAGGTGCAGGCGCGGATTCAGGAATTTTTTTTGGGGGGGGGGGAGGGAGGGGGGCGCCCAAGTCTTAAAAAAATCCATCCCAGAAATTTCTTGACAAGCAAATAATAAGACAAACAAACAGAAAAACAACGTTTTCCAAACCGTAAAACCTATTCGATGAAAGGGGGGGGGGGGGGGGGGATAGTTACTGACTTTGAAAGCTTCGTTATTGACTTTGAAAGCTTCATACATAGTACATATTTGCATATTAGATGAGGGATCAGAATTTTCTAGGAGGGGTTCCAAGGTCACTTTTACTTCGTTTAGTTTATAAACTTCGAAATTCTGCAAAATCCAAGGGTGGGGGAGGTCCAGACCCCCTCTAGGTCTGCGGTTGAGGTTTCATTCGAGCTTGCCGGAAAGCTTTTTCTCTAATTGCGTAATCTTAAAAATTTTTAACGATTTATTTCTCTTGGTTCATCTAGATACCAAATATCACCTTTTTACAGACATAATCTTTTTACTAAAGAAATGTTCATCGAAACCCCACTTTTTGTTAATGTATTTAATGTATTAATTTAGAGTAAAAAATATTACTGAAAAATGGAGGAGTTGTAACTTACCTACCCCCTCCCTCCCGAATCAAACAAATTTTTTTCGTTTGTTAAATTCTTTTCAGGTAAGCTTTTTTAAACCTTCCCACCCCACCTCCTTTCAAATTCGATTCAACGTCACTGGTATGTCAGCAATTTTCGTGAATAAGAGACTGACATAACTAAATCAACTTGTATTTAGGCCTAATATGAATATTGGGGGATTGAATACCGGTATGTATAAGATTATCGTTTTGATAAAATTTATGTATTTTAAGTGATTTAAAAAATATTCCGTTTTCCGTTCCCATGTGGTTCCGTTCCGCTTTCCGTTCCGCGTTTTAGCAACACCCCCCATGCGGACACCCCTGCAATGAGCTTGCATCAAGATTTTTGACATAACATATGAAATGTGATACATGTATATCAAGGATATATCAAATCAATCTGATTAAATTGGTATCATGTTAAATCAATAGTTCTTGATTTTCTAAGTAAAGAAAAATCGGGAATGTTAAAATACCGGTATAAGCTCTGACATTGATATTACATTGTTACAGTAATATATGTATTGAAACAATCATTCTATCTCTTGAATTTGTGACACGATAGCGGTGTTTTTCTTTGAAGTTTACTGTTCTGTATTAGCAATACAGAACGGGACTGTGGTGGGCGGAGCTACTTTCCGTTCTGTATTAGCCCTGTATACAGTATTGTATTTGCCAACTATTCTGTATCTAAAATACAGCACGGTCTAAAAATAAATCTGATTCAATTTAGCAAAAGCACGTACAAATAGTAAATGCCGATGTTTTCCTATTATAAATTTTGGGGAAATAGCCGGTATTTTCCTGAGAATATAAAATGTCAAAATTTCTCAATCACTTTTTAAAAACATTCCACACAGAATCTACACGTAATTTCGATCCAAACTAAAGGAAAATTCGCAATAACGGAAAACATCCTCTGTACGTAATTTAGATCCAAACAAAACGGAAAATTCACGGAAAACATCCACTCTCCCCGTGCAAAATCATTCAGGTCCATTTTTCCGCGTTTTTAATTTTTTAAAATCCTTCTCGCTGACGACAGCCACACGTCTCTTTCACTTCGTCTTTAATGTCGCAATTCAATTTGAAAATAAAAATCCGTGACATCAAAGTCCATCGAAAAATTTTCTGTAAATCCTGTTTTCGTAAATCCAGTTAAACCGGAATTTTAATACCCCTGAAATATATTATGATAAATCTCCATCTACAATAGATCACAACAATGACGGTTAAATCCTCCAATTTAACCATTAAAACTGACTATCACTCGATTACGTCTACCCCGTTAAACTGTCAAAACTAATCTGACCGAATTTTACGTTTTCCGTGGAAATATATATACTGCGGATGCGTACTCCCCGTCGGGGCCTCATCTACAGAACTCTAGCGGAATTTTGGATGCTGCAAAGTTATAAAGTGGGCGGAGCAATTTTTGATTGATCGTGTCACAAATCATTTAGAGAACTCGACAGGTTCTGTATCGTAGATACAAATTTGGGGGTGGAGACTCGTGCTAAAGCACTCGTCCACCCCCAAATTTGTATCTACGATACAGAACCCGTCTCGTTCTCTAAATAATACTTATTGCTGAGATATACACAATCAAGCTAAATGACAAGATGAATGTATGAGTTGATGGTAAAGAGTGGAAAACACAGTCTAATTTATGAGACTGTTGAAGTTCAACGGTTCATTTGCCAGTAAATTTCTTCATAGAGGAGCTATGGCTCTATGTCTTTCTGTCTATTTGAAGGTCATGAGACACCTGGCTCTTCTATTGCTGTCACGCCGCGGCCTAAATCAACTTGTATTTAGGCCTAATATTGGGGGATTGAATACCGGTATGTATAAGATTATCGTTTTGATAAAATTTATGTATTTTAAGTGATTTAAAAAATATTCCGTTTTCCGTTCCCATGTGGTTCCGTTCCGCTTTCCGTTCCGTTTTCCGTTCCGCGTTTTAGCAACACCCCCCATGCGGACACCCCTGCAATGAGCTTGCATCAAGATTTTTGACATAACATATGAAATGTGATACATGTATATCAAGGATATATCAAATCAATCTGATTAAATTGGTATCATGTTAAATCAATAGTTCTTGATTTTCTAAGTAAAGAAAAATCGGGAATGTTAAAATACCGGTATAAGCTCTGACATTGATATTACATTGTTACAGTAATATATGTATTGAAACAATCACTCTATCTCTTGAATTTATTGCTGAGATATACACAATCAAGCTAAATGACAAGATGAATGTATGAGTTGATGGTAAAGAGTGGAAAACACAGTCTAATTTATGAGACTGTTGAAGTTCAACGGTTCATTTGCCAGTAAATTTCTTCATAGAGGAGCTATGGCTCTATGTCTTTCTGTCTATTTGAAGGTCATGAGACACCTGGCTCTTCTATTGCTGTCACGCCGCGGCCCGGGCTGAATTCCTGGCAAAAACAAGCAAGGGCATTTCTCAATGGGCTCAGTTCTTAGGGCTGAGCAGTATTATGCTGTTTGAAAGTTTGTATCCAACATCTTTATAATTTGACAAGCCAGAATCAAAGGAGAAAAGCTTTGTCGAAAGCAATAAAAAATGATTGCTTTCAACATAAATTTTGAAATATATGTAATAAAATACTGTATAAAAACAAGTGTGTATCTGTAACTATTCCAATGTATAGATACAATATTTGTGGAATATTCTGATGCTATTGGTTTTGTAATAAAAGATTTAGAAGAAGTTTGAACTATTGCAAAATTAATGAAAATAAATGGAAAAGAATGACTTAAGGGGGTTTAAGATATTGTATAAACCTTAATAACTTCAAAAGCATGTCCCCTGGATCCCTTAGGGATCTGTAAGTGTTCCCTGCAGACTCTAGATTTGTTGCTTAAGAAATTCTGGATCCGCCACTGCAAAGTGAGTTAACGCATTCCGGAATATGAACATACTACATTCAGAAACTAGTTTTGCCTCAGTCATTATCATCTTTGCGTTTGCAAAAACATGAAATGAAAGACAAGATACAAACTTATTACTTACATCGAGTTATTTTTGTGATTGGAGTGTGGTTGTTGCAGACTGACTTGTTTTTATGATTTTTAGGGCTTATATCTTTTTTGCAAGGCTTAAGAGCGAGGATAAAATACGAGAAATGCCATTTAAAATTCCTTATGGTTCTTTTGTGTCGTTATTGATAATAACATATTCAGTGCATGGAAAAAGCACACAACCACACATTTTGTTTATCCTAGCAGACGATTTTGGTTTTAACGATATTGGATATCATAATTCCGAAATAAACACACCAAACTTAGATAAACTTGCTGCAGAAGGAATAAAATTGGAGAATTATTATGTTCAGCCTATATGTACACCAACTAGGAGTCAACTTCTGTCTGGAAGATACCAGGTACTGGTATTTACTGGGACTGGGAGGGCGTTTATCAATATGTTGATGGCGCCACCGTTAGGGCAAGCACAGATACTAATACTTATTCAGTTTTAATTTAGAGCGGGCTCGTCAAGCCGCACTTGACATTTGGTGCATTTACCCTTGGTAGACATGACGTCATATATAAGTTGCATTACCGAAAAAGAAACCTAACATTGCTAAAAGTAAATGAAGAACGTTGGGTTTACTATTTATGAATTTTATCTTCAATATACATCCATTAAATCAAGGCGAGTTGGCTTTTTGTTGGACTTTTTTCATTATTCTTGCAAGAAAGTAGCTATATTATAACAGGTGATGCAATGTGGGTCCAGAGTAACTGCCAAAAAAGTTGTTTTGATCAATGTGCAAAGTCTAAAGTTTTTTCTTTGCCCAGCCTTGCTTTGACAGGCAGTGTGAAGCGCTGCTCCCTGTGCTCACTATAATATATAGGATCTCGGATATAAAATTTTGTTTATTGTAATTATTTTTTTTTATTAATGTTGATTGACTTTATTTGATTTTCATGTCAGGTACACACAGGTCTTCAGCATGGAATTATTTGGCCTCAGCAACCAAATGCATTGCCATTGGACAGTCCAATACTACCTCAGAAACTAAAAGAAGTTGGATACTCAACTCATGCTGTTGGGAAGTGGCACATTGGCTTTTACAAGAAGGAGTATTTACCCACAAATAGGGGATTTGATTCTTACTTTGGTATTCATTTGGAGAACATGGATCTCAAATTACCTAAAATATAACTATATTTACCCTATATAATTTATGTGGAATCTGGAAAGCTTTTTTTCACAGATAGACGAAGATTATGTCCAAATGGAACCACAAATACCCTCTATGTGTGTAGAAATGATTTTTCTTGCTTTTGAATGTTTCCAGGATATTTGACTGGAAGTGAAGATTATTACACCCACTATCGCTGTGATGGTAAAATGTGTGGAACAGATCTCAGAGATAATACTAATCCTGCCAACTATTCCGGCGTATATTCCACACACCTGTTTTCACAGAAAGCAGCTGACATTGTTAAAAAACACAACACTGACCAGGTTCTTTTTTATTGCTTCATCAATAGATGTAAATAAATACAGATAATGTGGAGGGATTTCAGTCATTAATAAAATCTGTTTTGAATTTATTTTTAATTGTTTCTCTTTGAAGACAAGTGTCATGCAATAGGAAATAGGACACACAAAAAATATTTTAATTAAAAAAAATATTGAATGTCTCTCATTTCAGTCATTTAAAAATTCTTACAGCCTCTATTCCTGTATCTTCCATTCCAATCAGTCCATGCACCACTTCAAGTACCAGAGAAATACACACAGCCATATAGACATATAAAAAATAAACACAGGAGAGTTTATGCTGGTAGGATAATAGGGTTATAAACTAAGTGATTCTTTAAATATATAATTTTTTTTAAATAACATAATATTTTGTCTATCAAAGGCATTAATGACATTATGATGATGTTTCAACAGAATAAAAGTTAATGTGTCATACGTACATTTTATATACTAGGTATGGTGTCAGCTATGGATGAAGCCGTTGGGAATCTTACCGAGGTTTTCAAGCAAAAAGGGATATGGAATAACACATTGATGGTGTTTTCAACAGGTGATATTTCAAACTGATGTCATGTACATTCAACAGCAATAGTTATAAACTAACAAATTAAAAGGAAAAGATCATTGACAATGTCCAAAAAAAGAGGAAAAAGACAGACAGAAGATAGTTTGCTTATTGAAAATAGAATTAAAGCCCAGGTTTTTTGATATCATTGACAGCTGCTTTTTCAATAAAAATGGAACTCGTAAATTTACTAACCTTGTCATTTGTCTTTTGCAAAATTATTTTATTAAAAAACATGCTGATTGTACACACAAATGCTCTGAAGTTGACATCAAAAAGATGCTTGAGTTTCTGATTGACAATATCTATGTTGTTAGTCCAATACTAGTATTTATACACTGAATTGTCGACAGATTTTTCTGTTATTTCCCGATCATGACAAGAGGCACACGGCGGTTGTGACCGGTTAGCAGGGGATGCTTTACTCCTCTATGGCACCTGATCCCACCTCTAATGTTTTGGAGGTTCATGTTTGCTCTGCTCCTATTTTGTATTGTTTTATGGACTTTTGATCTTGAATACTGTTAGTTATCTCCATACATTTCATTTTACTTTTAGATAATGGTGGCCAAATTCTGGAAGGTGGAAACAACTATCCACTGAGAGGATGGAAGGGTTCCCTTTGGGAAGGAGGCATGCATGGAGTAGGCTTTGTTCATGGTCAGATGTTGAGGAGAAGAGGGGTGGTATCAAATGAATTAATACATGTCACAGACTGGTATCCTACTCTTGTATCATTGGCTGGTGGAAATTTAAATGGAACGAAACCATTAGATGGGGTAGACCAGTGGAAAACTATAAGGTACTTATAAATTACATGACATTGCATTAAAGGTTGACGATTGCACTGTCCCTTGTAAAATCATATTATGTTAAGGTTGACCATTGCATTGTTCTTTGTAAAATCACGTCATGTCATAATTATTTTTAACCAACAGAATTTTTTGTAAAACAATGTTTTGCTCAGGCATATCTCTTTTTACAAAAAAGACAAACAAACAAAAAAAGAATCTTTCTATCCAATGTTTGAATGGTATTTTTTTTGGACATAATTGTCAAAAAAAATTTATCAGTGAAGGATCAGTTGTGAATCAGAGGAAATCCATTTTACACAACATTGATCCGTTATCTAAACCAAAAGGACAGATGTGGCCCAATAGCCCATTTGACAACAGAATAAGGGCAGCTCTACGAATGGGTGACTGGAAGCTAGTAACAGGCAATCCAGGTAATATGAAATAACATATTTTATTATCATTTAAAAAATGCAGTCATTCTGGTTGGTCTAGAGCATGTCTTGTGCAGGGAGACAAATCATAACGTCTCCTTTACACAGAGGATGGCAATTGTCTACCTAAGATAATAATAAAATAATGATTGATTGATTGTAATTATATTCTTTAAAGCAATATGAGCTGCATTTTTGAAAAATTGATTTTGATTGCAAAATGTGTTATTATGATTAATTTGTATGTAATTTCAATCCTTATGATCAACAGGACCAAATTAAAGTTTATAAATGTTTCAGAAGAAATATTTCTGTACAATCAAATTTATAGCGTTATATAAGAAATAAATATTGTACAGGACGACAATAATGTAATTTTGCTTCAATCAAAGCTTATAAAAAGCCCTTCCATCGCAAATATAAAGAAAAGAAGTTATAAATGTTCTATTTTTCTTTCATTGAAATGGTTTATTTCAAATTTGCAACAAAATTTTCCCATGTCAAACATGCAGCTCATATTGCTTTAACGTCCCTTTCAAGAAAAAATAGTGAAAGCGAGCGTAAAAGGTAACAACTTTGTTGTCTTCCTGAGGGTGCCCATCTTCTTTCTTTTTTTTGTCCTGAAGCTGTTTTAATGATGCTGTTATGCGTAAAAGGACCATTATATTGGCATTGAAGAAGGGTCATTTTGATTTTAACAAAAGGGAGTAACCAGGATTTTTTTGCAAATACAAATGTAGTTTAGAGTTGTCTTTCTTTAATTACCGTTCATTTTTTGTGAATATTTTGTCAATGGTATCAAGGCTTAATTTATTGTGGAGTCTCAAGACTCAGAAGCCTGTTGTCTAAAATGAATGAGTCAATTGAATGTTGGTTTTGAAAAATTAGGTTAAATTATTACTGTATTTTTTTTTTTAGGAAATGGAAGCTGGGTTCCACCTCCCCACGTGAACTTGGGGGTTTTGGATATGGAAAATTCTACTTCTAACAAAAATATTTGGCTGTTTAACATCACAGCAGACCCATATGAACACAAAGATGTCTCAGACACCATGCCACATGTGGTGATGCAGATGCTAGATCTTCTAGCTCAGTACAACAAGACAGCGGTACCCTGCAGGTATCCAAAAATGGATCCCAAGGCTGATCCCAAATACCATGGAGGATACTGGGGCCCATGGCTGTAAGAAGTTGAACAAAAGTTCAATTGGGGTGATTTATTAGTGATAAAAATCTCAAGGGACCATTTATTAATTTGCTATGCAGGCCTTTAGGTCACTTAGAAAAAAATTGAGGTGTTAAAAAAAGGTATAAAACTCTTTACATTAGGGTATCCACTTAACTATGTTAACAGACATAACTATGTTATACATACAGCTATAGCAAAGTATGATGGGTAAACAATATTGATTTTTTTATAAACATAATTTGTACCAATTCAGTTCACCAAAGGGATTGAAAATTGCATATGTTATATGTAAAGCTGGGGTTCACCATTAGGCTACTAATAAACAAGCTGATAACTGTGTTCTACTCCATTTAATCCAAAAAGTTTTGATCAATTAATGTTTAAACATTGTTCTTTTGTTTTGTGTTGTGTTATTTTAAACATAATGTGCTGTTATATATTTCCACTTCCATATATATTTACTGTTAGGTCAAAGGGCAGATAGCAATAAAATGGACACTAATTTATTTTTATACAGGAATATTTACTTTTCTGGTTGGATACACATGTATGTTTGTGCTTTATTAACAAAGTCATAAACTTCTGATTTATATACAAGTATAATTGATACAGAAGAAAATAAAATGGAATCTCACTTCCAATATTTTTTGGAAGATATTTCTTCATGCAAGCATACATATATTTTTTTTTCCCAATTTACATTCTCTAGTTACTATAACAATCCTTTATATTGTTCCATCATGCACTGTAGTGACTGCACTTTATCCATTGTTGATAAAAGGACAAATCACTTTTTTTTTATGGATTCATAATTAAAAGACTTTTTCATCATTTAGGAAAATGTTATATGTTAACCTGACAAGCTTATTTTTTATGGTGACAGGTGTTGTTAGAAGATAGCTGGAAGGGAAAAGTAAGGAAAATGTAATCGCTGATTTTATATAAGAAAAAAAAATGTCTTAATAAAATCATGCTGTACTGAAGTATCTCCTTGGTCCATAGTTTCCTTAGTCTTTTTGATTTTTGCTTATTTTATGTACTGTATCTATTGTCACTAGTAAATTAATAAATAAAAGTTAATTTCATCGATGTTTTTTTTTTTCGTGTTTGTCATGCGAATTGGAATTTTTTCATTTCTATTTGTTTTCTCTGTGATAATTCTTTGAAAGTTAAGAGAGTTGATTTCTTGATAATTCTGTCGAAAAGTGAATTATGCAAAGCGGTAGGTCAGGAGCTAAGGAGGCTTAATATGCATGTAAGTATTGTGCATGTCTGTCTTTGTGTCTGACGCTAAGAGGCTTAAATTTTTTTAAAACTAAGGAATCAGGGTGACAATAGGGAATCCAAGTTTTACATAGAAATATATGGGAAAAAATTTTAAAATCCTCTCAAGAACCACTGAGCCAGAAAAGCTGAACTTATGTGGAAGGATCCTTGAATAATGTAAATTCTAAATTATTCAAATCATGACCCCAGGGGGTAAGGCTGGGCCACAATAAGGAATCCAAGTTTTACATAGATTTTTATATGGGGAAAAACTTTAAAAATCTTCTCAAGAACCATTGGGCCAGAAAAGCTGAAACTTATGTAAGAGCATCTTGGGGTAGAGTAGATTTTAAATTGTCCAAATCATGGCCCCTGGGGATAGGGCGTGGTCACAATTGGTATTATAAAGGGGGGACTCTGTTAAAGAACAGCATGGCCAAAGTTTCTCAGGTGAGCGATGTGGCCCATGGGCCTCTTGTTTCATATGGATTTGTTTAAAGGTATAACAATTATAAGGAATATTTTGTTGTGGAAACAAGTGAAAGAATATGTTATGAACAACTAAAGCTGTGGTGACTAAAGTGTCCTCCATGTCCCCCTCTATAACACCCTCGATACTCTGAATTTTACAGCTTAAGTTTACCAAATGCAATATACATCACAGCTTGATTCAGCATCAATCTTGCCTAATGCAGCAGATTAAAATTTATAACAAACACTTTAAAATTAATAATGTTTACATTTACATTAGATCTTTATAAAAACACTCCAACCTTCATGTTACATGCATTCACACACGTATTCTAATATTTACAAAAAATAAGGGAATCATGCTTTTCAAAATAAATTGCAAAAGAAACAGTTACTTTTCAAGCAGTTTCAATGTATATCAGAAATCTGATTAAAACCAGATCTGTATTTTCGCTACCCCATCACAGGAGAAGTTTTTATCATCCGAAAAAAAAAAAAATCTGGAAAAAAATTCCCACCCTCAACTAAAAAAAAAAACCAGGATGGCTACGTGTTTTGGGGAACCCACCTAAACAAACAGATCTGGGTTTGGTCAGAAAAGTATTTCGCGACTAATTCAGTGTCCGCGGGGTGTTTGTGTTGTAATCTGCTTGGTTTATGCAAGCTATTCCCACTTTCTGAAAATCAGGTAGAAAAAGGTGAAATTTCACGGGGTGTTGCTAAAACGCGGAACGGAAAACGGAACGGAACGGAAAACGGAATATTTTATTTTGGATTAAATCACTTAAAATACACAAATTTTATCATAAACGATATAACTTGTACATATTCAACCCCCACTATTAAATACAAGTTGATTTTGTAATGCTTGGTCTCTTATTTACGAAAATCGCTAACATAGCATTCACGTAGAATCGAATTTGAAAACTTTCAGTACTATATTTTTTACAATAACATACATGTACTACATTAATTACATTCAAAAAATTGTGAGGATGTCAACTTGAACGAAGATTTCCGTAATGAAAAGGTTATGACTGGGTGGGGGCGCATATATTTGATATCTAGATGAATCATGGTAAGAGAAATAAAATGTAAAAAAAAGAAATATTATTAAGATTACGTTTAAGGCAAACCTTTACGTTCAGCACATATAAACATCTCTTATACACACTGGTTGTTAACATTTTATTCAAAATAAAGTAGCTTTCTATATATTTAAATTCTGGATAGACAATGTTGGAAAACTTTCATGTGGTAGATATAATACAGAATCTTTGCATTCAGTGAAGTTAAATTATGTTTGTTTGCAGTACATATGTGTGTATGTTTAGGGGGGGGGGTGTATATGAATGACCCCGTAAAAATGAGCTTGTTTTCCCACTCATCGGAAAGGTCTGAAAAGTTGTAATAGGTCTGCCCCCTTTTTGTGTTCAAAATATACATAAGGTTATAAGGTTTAATAAATCAATTTTTAATATGGATGTGGGCCCTTACAAAGACTCGAAACTGCCACACCCCCTTTCATGATTCGCTAATTCGACACTGCATGCACAGTCTGAATATCATAAGTAGTTATTTTTGTCTTTACAGACATTGACATCGGAAACAAATTGAAAGAGGGGGGGGTTCAGTAAAATATTTCCAACATACAACAAATTTGACAAGCAAAAAAAGGGGATATGTCATTTGCCCAAACACGAAAATCCTATTTCGTGGAAGCGGGAAGGGGGGGGGGCGAATTTCTTTCAGTACCATTTGTTCCACGAAGGGTGTTTATGACTCATTATTATATAATAGTTTACAATAAATTTTTATTAGAAATGATTTTTACAACAAGAACATTGCTCTTTTATCTGATTTAAATTGAATCTCTGTTATTTCATTGACAAAAAGTTTCCGTTTTCCGTTCCGTTCCGCTTTCCGTTCCGTTTTCCGATCCGCGTTTTAGCAACACCCAATTTCACGTGGGAGTAGGTGGAATTTTGTGTAAACAAATAATTTACTATGTTCTTAAATTTAGGAATTAAGTTGCCATTTCTTGTAAGATCGTTTTATTATTTCAAAAATCCAAAATAAATCATATTTTCTCATAGATGTATTCATTATTTTCTGTCTTTAAATGTACAAAATACAGGTAAATCTAAACATCTATTGTTATTTGCAAGTGGGAATAGGTGGAATTCAGATTTTTAAAAAGTGGGAATAGCTAGAAGACACCATCTGCTTGACGGCTACAGGCCGTGCATGGCCCTTTTTCCACCTTGACAGCTCATCCTGGACTCCATGCCACTAAACCGAACAAAGAAACATGTATAAAATTTTACGTAAACTACGATAAATAAAAAAATATTTTGGAAAGGAAATATTAACAGCCTTTATTCTTATACAGATTCTCTTGTCTGAAATTCTTAATTATAATGAAGAGGCACTAATGTAAAAGATGGCATAGTTTATGAAAATAATTCAATGCATACATTGTAAAAAGTAATAAATCATTGTACATCAATGAAATGAATTTTTTATTTCACAAGTCATCAGACAAATTAATGATAAAAAGTCTAAAATAACCAAATGTTGATGTAACTACAACTGTAACAAATGATACATAATCTTTGTAATTTTCAAAGACGTGATTACCCAGGCACGCAACAAGGGTGGGGGGGGGGGGGGGGCTGGCCGCCCACTTTTTTCCCAAACTTACTCTTACTATTGGAAATGTTAATGGAAAAGCAGGTTGGCCCCCTCACTTTATACTACAGGAAATTGATATCAGGGAAATGTGGGGAATTCCCCCAAAAATTATGTTGGCATTGAAAAAAATATCGACCTCTATCTAAACCCCCCTCCCCCCCCCCCCCTCCCCCCCCCCCCACAAATAGGATTTTCGAGTTTGGTCAAAGGTAATTTTTTTTTTTTTGCTTGTCAACTTTTTCAGGTAAGTATGGAATGCCATATACGACAGCCAACTGGTTACTGCCAACTGCTGACTGCTTACTGCCAACTGTCAGCAGCTTACTGCTAACTGCCACACATATTTGAATAATTTTTTATTTTTATATTGATATTTATGTGAATGAATTTTCAAAAAAAAAAAAAAAAAAAAACAGGCGCGGATCCAGGACATTTTTTCCAAGTGGGTCACCCTGGTAAAATTAAATTGATTAAATGACCAATATGTTTATCCTATTTAATATTTATTCAATATATATGCGATTGATAAAGTACATGTTTCATTTGTTTTCTTATTTGAAATAGGTAATAAAATGACTATTTTCTGCTTTTAATCTTTAAAGAAGTACACCCTCCCCCAACCCCCAGAGACAACAAACCCTTTGAAGAAAGAAAAATGAAAAAAAAAAGAATTTGTTGTTTTGCAGGGAAAGATGATTTAAAAATAAGTTTACATTTTCCATTATATTCTACAGCTAAAACATTCCTCAAATTAAAGATGTATATCTCTGTGTGTTACAATGTTTCGCATGCAAATATTTTGGGGGTGGGGAGGGTGGGGGTGAGGCATTTAAAATTTGTACAGTCATGGGTTAATGTATAAACTAAACGAACTAAAACTGATCTTAGACCCTCCACGTAGAAAACGCTGATCAAACATTTATATATCTTTGTTTTTACAAATAAGATAATTATGTTTTAAATGCATAGATCTAGAGAGAGAGTCCGGACCACCCCTCTGAAATTTGTAAAGTTATTTAATGCACAAACTAAACCAACTAAAAGTTATTCAATGTATAAAATAAATCAACTTAAAGTTTAGAACTCCCCCCCCCCCTCCCCCCGAAAACGCGATTTCGTGTTAAGTTGGTAGAAAAAAATGTCATAGACATGAAGGTATGACGCATGAGAACCCCCTCTCCCCGGCCGAAATAAATTTTCACATTAAGGAAAGGACTTAAGTTTACGTTTTTTTTTCTTGTCAAGAAATATCTGGGTTGGATATTTTTTAACCCTCTTGGAAAAAATGTTCTAGATCCGCGCCTTTTTTTCTTTTTCTTTTTTTCTTTGAAAATTCACATGAATATCAATATAAAAATAAAATTTATTCAAATATGTGTGGCAGTTAGCAGTAAGCAGCTGACAGTTGGCAGTCAGCAGTTGGCTGTCGTATATAGCATTCCATAGGTAAGTCAATAAGTCAGCAAAAAATTTTCTCTGGCTGCCCCCCCCCCCCCCTCAACCACTTTCAAAATCGATGCTACTTGGCTGTTACCTAATTAAAAACTTAAATCACGACAGTAATGACTCTTGTAAATTATGATTTTGCTATAAGTTTACATGAATATTTTCAATAAATAGATAAATAAAACGCAAAAATAAGTCAATATGTATTTATTA